CTTTATTAACTCTTTTAGTCGTGGCTATATTTATTATGCATATTAATGGATACCTCGGGTTGACTGTTGTCATAATAAAACCGATTGGTTTGTGATTTTGTTTCTTCTCACCACTGCGATCGCTGATGACACCATAAAAGCCTTTTGTTTACATACATTCTTCGTACCACATAGGCTTAGCGAGGACGTAAAAACTGAAAAAAAAAATCAGCATTGGCAGATGATATTACTTTGTTGTATACCTTTTTTCATTTGAAAATGTAGTATTACTTACTTGAATTGACCAAGGTTCATAAGATGGGCAGCAGACGCTTACTCTTCCGGAACACCTGATCTTATCCTCCTTGTACTTATTCAGGAATCTCCGTGTAAATTTAGTTTTATATTTTGCCCTAGGTTTATTGAATTTGAGTTTCAGTTATAATTATGTTGATATGTTGGTATTTTCTTATTGTTTATCAAAACAAACTGGAAGCGAATACCGTCATCATTTGGCAGAAGCTGTTGTTTGATATGATAAGTGAATGTCATCACTTGACCTTTGTATATGTGCGACTACATAATGATGTGGTCTCATCAACAGAGAACATTTTACAAATTATGCTTGCTATCCCTATTGCACGTTCGTATGTGGCTTCTAAACCTGGAATAGCACTGAACGTCCTTCATAGTGAGGAAACCGTTGGGTTACATCCCTTGCACGAATCAAATCAATGTCTCTGAAATACCGCTACAACTCTAAATAAGTCAGTGACTAAACTTGGTCAATTACATGCCGTGCAATGCCATATAATATGATTTGGTATTTGTCATGCTATCATGTCCAGTTTATAGAATTTTGTGATGGCACTCTAAAGCGTCATTGAGTGATCCCATCGTCCTCGGACCCCGTCACTACATGACCATGATTACTGCGACAGAATATTTGGTGAGATTAAAGAAAAGATTTCCTTTCAGACGCCATCCATGTACTGATGTCCCAGTTCGACTCGTTTTCATGCAAAACGTATTTAAAAGTTCAAGCTTGGTTCTCAATTTCGCTTTTAGATTATCAATTATATGCTATCTAAATAAATTGTCCAAAACTTAAAGAACCCTACAACGTTGAATTGAATTTCGATTATCTCATTGTCTGATCTTTACATTTGCATGGTAACAGCCGTCTTCCCTAGCTAGTGTGTTTATATCAAAGAATGGTAATATAAAGAGGATTATTTTGCAGTGTCATAGCTACCTCCATTAGTATGATGTTCATATCTTAATTGTTTCGGTTGGGCATAAACATATACTCCCCCATTTTCATGTTTATGGATGTTATCTTGTAAATCGTTCATTGTTTATTTTCAACAAGAATCGGTTGCACACTACGGAGTCCGTTATTCTTTCAATGTGTTCAACATATCACATGTGGCTACCCTACGGTGACAATACATGCGAATTTATCAATGGGCTGCTAAAAACTAAAAATCGAGACCAAATGGCGACTTAGATCTTCAATTATCTCTTGACTGACGTCTTATTTGCAGGTAGTGAATTATTTTGTCGTATTTGTATATCATCTTTTATGACAAAACAACAATATACGGGTTGTAAATAGACACGGTTTGTTCCCGTCAAAACGATTAAAGGCTAATTTCATTTTAGCAACTATTCGTCAAAATGGTTTATAAGGCTATGAAACTTCTTCGATTCCATTACAGAGGAGATGCATCCCAAAGATTCCTTTAAACTACGGTTTTGCCTTTATTATTTGAAACCGCTTTACTCCCTTTGCCAAACATCATACGAAATGGAAATTAGTTTTACAGTCCTCTTCCTCGTTTGATCAATATACCATATGCATATTGATTTCATTTCGAATCGGGAAAATCTATTTGGTGTATCTTTGTAGTCCTGGTGGAAGTATTTTATATAATATTATGATGTTAGTTTTAAAAGTTACATGGATTTTAGAGTATTTGCATATTACTACGCTTGAGATAGAGCTCAAATTTTATGGCATTGAAATTCAGTGTCTAAACATGACGTAAGTGATAGTCCTCATCCCGTAGTCCATAAAATGATCCTATGTAAATCAGTGTGTTACTAACCTAGCTTCAGGATCTGTATGGCACCAATTTATTGTCTTTGTACCTGGTGATTTCCTGTCCTGGCGTCGTGTCTCTGACAGGCGAAACTTGCACATAATTAGTAACTGTTAGTTTGTACTATATTCCGAAAATACTTAATGGTGACAAGGGGAAACGTAGCCTACCAATCTAAAAATCAATCTCACCTGATTATGGGAAGTTGTTTAAGTAAATTAAGTCAGAAAGACTGATTAAAGTTATAGACGTTCACAAGTCAAATGTCAAAGTAAAACTGTGTATCGTATAAATGTTCGAACAGGGGTTTTAGAGCCAGTTACTGTGAGAATAGGCGATACAATTTGCTTTTCTTGTATTCATAACAAGTATGTCATACCTTTGACAATAGCGATGAAATTGTATCTTACAAATCTTATGTAGTCGACATTTTTTGATACTGTAATCAACAGCTGGTATATTTCACCAACAAATACAATAAGTCATTAAATAGAGTAATATTTTTAGAAATCATAACCTCCCCAATACATAAAAACCAACTCCGCCGGTAAATGTAAATCGTTCAATGTTCATTTTAAACCAATATTTATTTTTGAATAGGATTGACTCCAGTCTATCCCCGATTTGAAAATATTTTTTCAGCAATAGACATAACAGGACAAGACATTGATGATGAGCTAAACTGAATCAGTACTAACAAAAACACCAAATCAAATACCGACAGAATCTAAATTCCAGCTCATATTATTCGACGATAGGGTCAAATACTGAATTTAACTGTATCATACAGTCATTTCATCCTTCTAAGATTCGTAAGCGATACTGAAAGCTAAAATTGTGAAACCTAGATTTCATCTGAAGAGAGTCTAAATCTATAAAAAGAAATGTTAAAATCTAGATTATGGATACATTAACCATAACATTGACTAGATAAATTTCGTATAACTGATAATTCTAGACGAACATCAAATACATGTATCACAATTCGAATGAATTAAAGCGTGGCATGCAGGTTACGGCAAACCACGGGTACTAAACATCCTCAAGCACTGTCTCCCCCTTGCTAACTCGAATATTGTACTTTAAGACTTATACGTGAATAGCCTTTGTTTGGAACTAGATGCATTAGACCTAAATCATGAATTAAACTCCATAATACAATTTTTAAGTCCTTTATGTCCCCGTTAGTGATGCTAAGGGCCTAATTTTATGTCCTGAAAGGTGAATGGGGAAAATCCAAGTGATCGAAAGAAATGTCAAACTCATGATGGAGAGATTCATTGGCCTCATATTTCAGTAAATTGTGTAATTTCTGTAAAATTTATCAATTCTGTAAGAACGAGACACATTTAGAAATCTAGATTGGATGGTAGTTTTTTTTTTTTTTTTTTTATCTGAAAACAACTTTCTCATTTTAAAGGCCGAAGTACTGCTGTTCATTTGTCATTTAAACCGTTAGTTATGTATACATTGTAGATATCGAGTAAGGTTAATCGGGTACAAAATAAGACCATGTGTTCCGGAAGAGTAATCGTCTTCTGCTTAGCTACGACCACCATTTGTAAATCTTAGTCAATCAATGTCAGTGATATCAAAACGTTAAAATATTAAAGCATACCTTACATTCATCAGTGATAGTATAAAGCGAAAGTGTAGCTTCAATATCAGTTAATACCAACTAAAGCTAATTATAAAGATATTTAACTGACAACGACAAAAGGACAAAGACACACGTGATCAATTTACGAATGATCCCACGCTTACCAACGGTTATCAAAAGGTAAATTGAAAGAGTTGATCATATTAAAGATGAAACTTAATGTGATGTTGATAATAAGGCAGGTATAATTGAGAAATAAATAATAAAAATATTAGCATATTTCTCAAAATAAGATAGAGAAAAGACAGAGTAGAGTGGGTTTGAAATGCAATTGTTGAAACAAGACAGATATGGATATTGATGTGAAAACTTGGATGTTTGTATAATTGTCAAAACAGATTATATAAAAAAAAGTTGAGTCAAAACAAGGAATATAAAATTGGCTGAGTGTAATTGTTAAAGCAAGATATATCAAAAGGTTTAAATACCATACAAACTAGGTAAGTAAGAAAATGCTTATAATTTTCAAAACAGCGTAGTGAAAAAGGACACAGTAGATTAAGAAAGGTTGGTGTATATCATTGCCAACACAAGCCCGATAAAAAGTCAATCTTAAAGGCAGAAAATTATTATTGTAAAAAGTACGTACGAACGGGAAGTCTCTATAATGGTTTCCAAATTAAGATAAGAAAACAATTACACGATCTAGATAAGAAACCAATTAAACACAAAGAAAATCACTATTCGTTTAAAAAGTCAATTAAGAAAGAAATTATCCGACTAGATAGTGTCTCAGCAAACAGATCCACAAGGGAATTTATGTATAAACCACAACTGTGTTGACAAATTCTGATAAGATCTGCTAACCAATATATATATTGTTTGTGCTACACATGTTAAAACAAGCTCTGTAGATGCCCAGATAGCGAACACAGACATATTTTCACGTACAATACTATATTTGGCTTGAAAGCGTATGACGTAAACAAAATTAAGTATACATACTAATACACCAGGCCCCACTTGTATAAAACATCTCAACTTGAGATTTCCTCAAGTCGAGATTTTCCTCAGCTGATATCTCCTCAAAAACGGCGTGTATAAAATTTTCTCAAGGAACAGGAGGACGTTATCGACTAGGATGTCTTGAAATTCCTTGAGGAATTTTCATACAAGATATTTTTCAAGGAGATATCAGCTGAGGAAAATCTCGACTTGAGGAAATCTCAAGTTGAGATGTTTTATACAAGTGGGGCCAGTTCCTAGAGAAGCCGACAAGGCTTGACGTAATATTAATACGCAACTTTATTTTCCAGGTAAGTCTCCAAAAATCCCACCCAGAGTCGCATTCTTTGTGGGACTGCGGGAAAACGTGGGACCTTTCAAAGAAAACAAGGATCTAGCTTACGACAAGTTGGTCACAAATATCGGTGGTGGTTACGATATAACCACTGGCCGCTTTACGGCACCGGTAAATGGTACATATCAGTTTACGGTAGTCGTCGCGGCGCAGGGCCAAAAGAAGGTAAGGATGGTTTGTTAAGAAACCACTCATATCTACAGTAAATCACAATAAAACATGTAGATTTTCACTGTGGAATAGCATCCAACACAGTTTATTTTTATTTGGTTATGCACATTCGTCTAACGGAAGTAATCAAACGTTATTGTTTTTTGTAAAACACTTTATCGACCTATTATTCTAACTTACACTTTCTACGTTAAACAAAAATATAGATCAAAAAATGTAATGAGTTGACCCATTATCTAACGTACCGCAACAAAACCTTGTGTCAACTGGCAGACAAAACATGACTGGAGATCAGAAATATCCTATTCCATGTCCATTCAGCATTCTCCGACTGTTGAGTTTCATTTCACGGATGACAACCTAGTATGCGTTTGTTTCTTTCTTGTAAATGTTTAGAGAGTATTAGTAGCAGTACTGTAGAATTGTCAATGGTATATCTGTAGATATTTGGTAGTTGTACACTTACATTTCAACAATATATTAATACTGCAATCAGATATTTCATAAATGATGCATGTATAGCGGAAGATTTAATCAGATTTTATTTTAAACGAGATTGTATATATATAGGTTATCGAAATGACATGACGTTGTCTTGGAGAAATTGGCTAAATCTTGTTTACATAGAAAATAGTTTGTTGCTAAAATCTTTTCAACTGCAAATTTCTCATTATGTCTTATTACAAGACAATATTACTTCTTTAAAACCCGAAGTATCAATGCCTTTTCAATAAAACAGTTTGAAAAATAACGGAATTTGTGTTCTAGGTGAGATAGTTAAAGGGACTCGTATCTAACACAACATATAACAAAAAAAGTGGTTTGACTATAACATCAATTGTATAGCCATACATGGAAAACATTGCACAGATACCACACAAATGAATAGCTCTTTTCGATACAAAAATTTAGTACAAGATACAGCAGAGCCAACTTTATACAGCTTATTCTATTGGGTCAGTTAAATAAATTACATCTACCATATATCTCGATATATTGTTGCAATATTTACATGTATAATTGAAATCCAGTTAAACGTACTAAGAAAGAAAACCTGGTGCAAAGAAAAAAACTGCTATGTCTTGCGATAATAACAAAATCAATAGAAAAAGACCCTCAAAAAAATCAAGCTTAAGTTCCAGAACGACAAGCGTTTCCAGACTTTCACATAAGTGTGAAGCCGAATCCGTGATTATTAAAAATCGAATGTATATTGAACAAGTGTTTAATCCTGATAGACATCACCCCATCTCGATCTCGATACAACAACGATCCTGTGGGATTTACCTTAGGTGGAACATCTTGGTATAACAGATTACAGTCGACAAGACGCACCATCTAATTTGAGAATTCGGAGACTATCGAACAAGTGCAGTGTATATAGTGTAGTAGAGTGCAATTCATTAAATCATTCTGTGAGGTACGTCTATACTACATCACACAGAATCACAGTACTATACTGAGAAACATACATAAAAGTTCTTGTTACATCCTTTATGGTATGGTAATACCACAGGGATTTGACGTAAAACCTCTTCTCGTTGTTTATAAATGTGTTCGGCAATACAGAATTTTACCTCAGAATGTTAAAATGGTTGTGATGTGAAGAAAGGTGTCAGTTGTTTAGAACAGAATATGACAGCATGTGTTACATGTGTTTCGCAACACTACAGAAATGTGCACTTTCAAATTCGAAACAATAGATCAAGTCTTCCTTCGGAACTATCAGCAATAAGTCTAGTCTGCTCTAGGGAGAACAAAGGATTAACTTATATAAACATTACACTGAAATTCCCTCGCTGTCATTTATTTCAAATGCAGCTGACGTGATTTGCATTTACATTTTTGACAAATAAAATGAACACGTTTTAGTCAATGCACAAATGTCAGACCTGTTTCCCTTTGTATCAGACAATCTCCGTGATCCCATTCCCTATAGTCCCCAACGTCGATGACTAACCCGCCATTATTGTCAGTGTACTTGTAATCTATAAACCGAAACCACACATGACAATATCAGTACGGAATGAAAAGCTTGCAAAGTACAATTTTGTAATAAGTGAAATTTTCCGCTGGGGTTTAATTACATCTGTCTGTTGGGAAAGAGGAAAGATTCTGTTACGACGAATTTAATAGCTTTGCGATGAGACAGTAAACTTAGAAATCTATGTTTACAAAGTATCATCGTTCCCATTTCTGTTCCAAGTAGATATAAATCGTTCTCTACGGTATCTGACAGAGTTCCGATAAGGTGACGAAGGGGACCATCATTATTTAATAAGTCTTTGATATTTATGGAAAGACTGACAATTCCAATTTCATGATTTATCACAACCCTGACATAATTCAGATAAAATAACAAAATACCAGCACATATACACAGGATGCTGGTACAGAGATACACTGCCAATATAAAAAGATTTTTTTGTCAGGAATTTTAAGTCGGGGCCTAGGTAAAAACTTACTTTCGATAGTGGGAAATCTTTTCCAATTTCGTTATTTCTGTAATTAATTCCCTCATCTTTTGTTTTTTACGTACCCTGTCAATCACACGTGCAGGAGTGAAGAAAGAAGATGGCCGCTGTATCTCATTTCATGTCGTAAGAAGCAACTTATTGTAAGCGCCCTGGTAGACTCGTCAATTTTTTCTTTGTCTCCACTAAAAAAGGACACTGAACGAAGGAAAATTGACCAGCTGCTCCAATTTCAACACTTTTGAACTTTCTTTCTTTCCTCTCCACTATGTCGGTTTTTTTGTTGTGTGTGTGTGTTTTTTTTTTTTTTTTTGTTTTTTGTCTTTTCCTTGTATCCCATTACATGACCCTGGTTCCAACAAACAAATCCAAATTTTAATATTCCATAATCTACAAACTGCGAAAGGATGACAAATTTATGTAGTTAGAGGTTTCGATATGTAAGATGTAAGATAAGCTGCATGATCTTGAAAATAACCATTCAAATGCCATTGTCTGCCTGCTAAGAAGTGTTGAGAGGGAGATGATGTCTAAAGACTTTGTTGTCAGTGTTTGAGATGACACATCCATGTGTTTCGCCTCTCGACAATTTCGACCATTGTGTCATAAGATTTATAATTAAAAGTTCATAGATTCTATAGAGGACCTTATTAGGATACTACGCTTCGCCAATATTGGAATGTGAAATTTGTTGTTTATATATCCGCATATGCAACCAATAAAGCTTAAGGAAAACAGAGACGAGGGGGCGCATAGATCCTCGTACATCTGTGACCAGATGTAAACCGTATCGACATTTATGGGATAAAACAATGTATAAATTAAGAATAAAAAAATCGAACCATTTTCACGATAGTCATATCGTCATCACGCCACACCACTTTCCACGTCAGTTTACACGATATTATACTACAGCAAGGAAGTGGTATGAACTCATTACTATCAAAAAAAGAAATTATAACATCGAAGTGAAAGCTTTATGTTTAAGATATAAGGATTTGCAATAAATCTGCCAATAAATGAAACGGGATACATCACTTAAATGTCACATTCTTTAAACACAAAAACACATAAATAGAGATGCGATCAGAAATTCAGAATTAAATTGAAACGTGTAATACGGGTAATGTAACTTTAAAAAATCAACTAATGAACCGGTTGTGTTGAATTTTATGCAAAATCGCATATGAAAATAGATGTAGTTTGATTTTGATACAATTTAACACTTTTTTTAATTAACAGTTTTACTCCATTTGGTTTCTCCTGTCAAGTTGAGTAAAATATTACAGTTAGCAATACTGATTGAATGATAGCATGGTCATATGTAGAGAAAGTAAACATAATTATACAACAAACAAGATTATCAATACCTCCGGAATTAGAAAAATAAGTAGTTCCTTAAGGTGATTTCGTCCGAGTTTCTGGAAATTTTTAAAGAGAGAACTCAAGGTTACATTATTTAGGATCTTTTTTATGTCAATGTCATTCTAATTGCATTGTTTTATAATTATCGTTGCAGGGTGCTGTGAATCTGATGAAAGAAGGGAGGATGGTAGTTACAGTCTGGGCCGAGAGCTTTCCCTGGGCGACATCGTCGAACACATTGATCCTGAATCTGAGCCGGGGACAACAGGTCTGGCAGATAGCTCGCAAAGATGCGTCCTATTTCCATGGTTACATGTATTCCAGTTTCTCTGGTTATATGCTGTTCGCTGATGAAGACGACAACGACTTTTATTAACAAAGGTCGAAAAAACATTGAGAGAGATATAGAGTGACTTAATCGTCCATATCTTTGATTCTGTGGAATCATTGTTTTCATCAAATAAAGAGACAATGTAATTTGGTATCGAGAACGTTATTATGACGCCATTAAGTTTGAACATAATGAGACTTTGATTCAGGAGAATTTTTTGTTGTTGAATTGTTCACGTGTATTGTTGATTAAATATATGGTTTAGTATAATAAGTATATATATATTGTGTCGTACTAACAGCTGATAGTATCTAATTAACAGCGATCTATTTGTTTCTATGTTGAACCCTTTGCCGTATGATTTCTCTGGCTGTTATAGGACTTTCCATCAAATGGTTTTCATATTTTACCTTCATGTGTAAAGTTTTCTGCTACTCGAGTAAATATCGAGATTGACTTCACGTACATACTTCCTTAAAAACGGTTATAAGGATATATTCTACCAAATCTTGAAGGATAAATTGCTGCTGCAGAGGACTTAAGGACATCGGGCATATCATATGCGGATATGTAGTTGTACTAAAGTCAGAAAACAGATTCCTGAATATAGATGTATAACAAATTTAACAGGGCACGAAAAATAATGTAAAGTACAGGTACGTATTAATTACACAGAGCAGATAGGACCATTCCACAGGACAAAATATATATGTACCAATAGGTCGGAAACTTTTAGGTTAACTGATGGAACCGCTGGCAGACTAACATCATTTCTAAGAATGACATATTACTTACTTTCGTGTGTGACTTCCTGTGGTTAGGTAAAAATATTGTTTAATAAATTCACCAAGGATTATATATATATTTACCTGTATATCGTTTTTACAATTTTTCAAAATTGTCCGTCGTTTTCAGCGACAAGTACTCTAGCATCAAGCATACACGTCGTATATGTTACAAGTATCCCGCTGCTGACGTGTAAAGGGTATGAGCCGGCCAAATACCTATGTACAACCTGTGAAAGGAGGTGTTATCATATAGAAAAATGGTTTTTGTATCCTAGAATATTAAATGATAAAATCAAGCATATTGATGAGTTAACAACATCAAATACAAACCAAGTGAAAGGTTGTAATAGATCGTCTATGTCTTCTTCAAAAAAGGACTTTAAATTGTTAAATAGGAGGGCTCTTAAGAGTGTCAAGGAATGTAGTGACAGAGGACTTTAAATAGTGACAAGGAATGTGGTGACAGAGGACTTTAAATAGTGACAAGGAATGTGGTGACAGAGGACTTTAAATAGTGACAAGGAATGTGGTGACAGAGGACTTTAAATAGTGACAAGGAATGTGGTGACAGAGGACTTTAAATAGTGACAAGGAATGTGGTGACAGAGGACTTTAAATAGTGACAAGGAATGTGGTGACAGAGGACTTTAAATAGTGACAAGGAATGTGGTGACAGAGGAGGACTTTAAATAGTGACAAGGAATGTGGTGACAGAGGACTTTAAATAGTGACAAGGAATGTGGTGACAGAGGACTTTAAATAGTGACAAGGAATGTGGTGACACAGGACTTTAAAGAGTAACAACGAATGATGTGATAGAGGACTTAAAAGAGTGACAAGGAATTTAGTGACAGAGGACTTTAAATAGTGACAAGGAATGTGGTGACAGAGGACTTTAAATAGTGACAAGGAATGTGGTGACAGAGGACTTTAAAGAGTAACAAGGAATGTGGTGACAGAGGACTTTAAATAGTGACAAGGAATGTGGTGACAGAGGACTTTAAAGAGTAACAAGGAATGTGGTGACAGAGGACTTTAAATAGTGACAAGGAATGTGGTGACACAGGACTTTAAAGAGTAACAAGGAATGTGGTGACAGAGGACTTTAAAGAGTAACAAGGAATGTGGTGACAGAGGATTTTAAATAGTGACAAGGAATGTGGTGACAGAGGACTTTAAAGAGTAACAAGGAATGTGGTGACAGAGGACTTCAAAGAGTAACAAGGAGTTTAGTGACAGAGGACTTTAAAGATTGAAAAGGAATGTAACGACTGAGGACTGCAAATAGTGACAAGGAATGTGGTTACAGGGGACTTTAAATAGTGACAAGGAATGTGGTGACAGAGGTATTTAAAAAGTGACCAGGAATGTGGTGACAAAGGACTTTAGATAGTGACAAGGAATGTGGTGACAGAGGACTTTAGATAGTGACAAGGAATGTTGTGATAGAGGAATTTAAAGAGTGACAAATAATGTGGTGATAGAGGTATTTAAAGAGTGACCAGGAATGTGGTGACAGAGGACTTTAAAGAGTAACAAGGAATGTGGTGACAGAGGACTTTAAAGAGTGACAAGGAGTTTAGTGACAGAGGACTTTAAAGAATGACAAGGAATTTGGTGACAGAGGACTGTAAATAGTGACAAGGAATGTGGTTACAGGGGACTTTAAATAGTGACAAGGAATGTGGTGATAGAGGTATTTAAAAAGTGACAAGGAATGTGGTGACAAAGGACTTTAAATAGTGACAAGGAATGTGGTGACAGAGGACTTTAAAGAGTAACAACGAATGTTGTGATAGAGGCAAATAAAGAGTGACAAATAATGTGGTGATATAGGACTTTAAAGAGTAACAAGGAATTTGGTGACAGAGGACTTAACAGAGTGACAAGAAATGTGGTGACAGAGGACTTTAGATAGTGACATGGAATGTTGTGACAGAGGAATTTAAAGAGTGACAAATAATGTGGTGATAGAGGTATTTAAAGAGTGACCAGGAATGTGGTGACACAGGACTTTAAAGATTGAAAAGGAATGTGGTGACAGAGGACTGTAAATAGTAACAAGGAATGTGGTGACAGAGGACTTTAAAGAGTGACCAGGAATGTGGTGACAAAGGACTTTAGATAGTAACAAGGAATGTGGTGACAGAGGACTTTAAAGAGTGACCAGGAATGTGGTGACAAAGGACTTTAGATAGTAACAAGGAATGTGGTGACAGAGGACTTTAAAGAGTGACCAGGAATGTGGTGACAAAGGACTTTAAAGAGTGACAAGAAATGTGGTGACAGAGGATTTAAAAGAATGACAAGAAATGTGGCGACAGAGGACTTTAAAGAGTGACAAGGAAAGTGGTGACACAGGACTTTAAAGAGTGACAAGGAATGTGGTGACACAGAACTTTAAAGAGTAACAAGGAATGTGGCGACAGAGGACTTTAAAGAGTTACAAGGAATGTGGTGACAGAGGATTTAAAAGAATGACAAGGAATGTGGTGACAGAGGACTTTAAAAAGTGACAAGAAATGTGGCGACAGAGGACTTTAAAGAGTGACAAGGAAAGTGGTGACACAGGACTTTAAAGAGTGACAAGGAATGTGGTGACACAGAACTTTAAAGAGTAACAAGGAATGTGGCGACAGAGGACTTTAAAGAGTGACAAGGAATGTGGTGACAGAGGACTTTAAAGAATGACAAAGAAAGTGGTGACAGAGGACTTTAAAGAATGACAAGGAATGTGGCGACAGAGGAATTTAAAGAGTAACAAGGAAAGTGGTGACACAGGACTTTAAAGAATGACAAAGAATGTGGCGACAGAGGACTTTAAAGAATGACAAGGAAAGTGGTGACACAGGACTTTAAAGAGGGACGACAAGGAATGTGAACAAAGGTTACACGTTGACACGTCTCACTGTGCAATAAAACACGTGTTGTTCTATAATATCGGCTGGAAGAGCATAGCTCATAACTTCAGCACCATGACCAGAAATAAGTACAAGCATTAGACAAATTACTACTTGTATGATGCCTTTTGTTATTAAATATTTATAATTCCCATCATAAGCAAAATTGCGTAACACTTGTCATGGGTAGAAATTATATATTTCTTAGTTATTTCTATATGTGAACGTAAAAATAGTCTTAAGAGAATAAATCATGTCCATGAGAAAGGACAAATCAGTAGTCAAAAGTTCTAACATGTATCGGAAAGACAATAAAAGAAACGGCAGTAAGATTAATATAATTGTCTATTTCTCTGAGAATGTCACAGGAGTAAGATTATAAAGTCGGCAAGCACGAGGTATCCGTAGTGTTTGCAAATTAATCATTCAGTATACCCATACCTTCTTTTATGTACATTTACTATAAGAGGTAAAATCTGTACCACTAAGTTACAGGTTGTTAATACACTATAAACACAAGTATAGCTTAAGAGGTATGACGTTATTCAAAACATCTATGAAATTCAGTTTTTTTTTTTTTTTTTTTTTTTGTTTAAATAGTGACGAAAAGGCAGAGTTATTAACGTTTAAACTGGAGTACCAGACAAATGCATCTAATCCATTGATAAAAAAAAATCACCCTCATTATCTAAATACTAATTTTAGTTAACATGACAACGATGCCGTGCAGTTGTTCTTTTGTGGGATAGGAAAGTCCATCATGGAGATACGTTTATACTGACACAACCAGAAATTCCTTTATATGACTTTATAGTAACCTAGCCTTTCAATTATGACATAACCTGGCTTAACACTGATCGATGTCGTGTCTGTATTTCCTCACTAATCTGGGTATTAGCTTGTGGAATCATTTAACAATTAGATTACAAACATGCACATTATAGCGATTTAACAGTTAATGTGTTAAATCCTCTCAAATATTTGTATTATCTGTTAGAGTTATCTTTCTTGGTAAAACCTCTGGAAGGTGCTTCTCGATCGATGCGAAGATGCCAACTTTCGTGAATCTGTCTCTTTAGGAGCTATTAAAGAGATAACGATGTAGTGTATTATAATATCCGTCACGTATCGCTATTTGATACATCGAGGGAAAGCAGACACGGTACATTTATTAATCAAATTTGGAATTTCCAACGTATTCCCATCCATTATCCTTGCTACCGTATGTATATCGCTATTTCACGATGACATAGTTTACGCGTTTTGTTTATTATTTTGTTCCCACAATGCCATTTCATCAACAGTTTAAGGCCAGTAGAACGTTTGTTTCGGGGGTTCCATACTTACGTTAAAAATA